AGCAGCATTCATCAGCCACGAGTGAGGCTCCTATCGTGCTAATCATTGCCGTTTTGTTGGAACATAATAATAAGGAAGCATAATTTGTGTTGCAATCTGGTTGGCGGTATTTTAAGACTTCCGTGATCCCAAGAGCAGCAGCAGCAGCAGCTGAATAAAAATAACGCTGTTATTAAGCACTCGGAGGCTCCGGACAAAAGCCGCTTTCACTCTGTGTCTGTGTTTGTCATTGTCTCCATTATTTTCCTCAAGCACCCCGCCCATAACAATGTAGTTATCAAATGTGATGAGAAACTAAGCATGTATTTACAAACTCACATCTTTGTGCCAAACAGGTGGTGTGTGTGTGTGTGTGTGTGTGTGTGTGTGTGTGTGTGTGTGTGTGTGTGTGTGTGTGTGTGTGTGTGTACATACGTGCCTGCCAACAGCTAGGTGTGGAGTGAAAGAGATGAGAGTGTAGCAGATGTTCTGATAGCTCACTCATTTAAAAGATGAACAAAACTGGCAGCGTGCGAGCTCAGAGTTCAGATCCAACAGTCGGGGTTACGAGACCTAAATTACACGTTGCCTCCGTAGCTAGCGTGAATGATTAGAACGAGTCCCGCAATAATATTCTGGCTTTTGTTTCTGTTTTTGCACCGAAAGTTTGGCACAATAATGAGATGGTAAACGACATGATTGCGTTCCCCCTAAGAGCCTCGGATGTGTAATTTTGGATTTCTTCATTGCAATTGTGCGCTGAGATTGTCTCTCTCATGTGAGGAAATTGTTTTACAGCCCCGTGGCCAGGTCAGCGTGCTTCACTGTAAAATGAAAACAACGCAGGGACAGTAATGGAAAAGCAGTTTCCTTTTAAATTCGTTAAAGCTGCTGCTATGACTGACAGTGTGTTACACTGTCTTTGTCTTATAGTAATTGTGAGTACACTGTATGCACTGTTGTGAAGCATCTCAGTGAGGACGAAGGCTGAAAAGTTTCTATTTACATCAAAAACTACCAGGAAGCAAACTCGATTCACTCAATAAAAAACTGTGAGCTGAGCTTGAACAGGCTCAGTATAGACGAAGTTCAGGCCCCAGAAAAAGAGAACAGTGTTAGCTGCATGTTAAACTGGCTGCTTGGATCGATGCGTTCCCCGGAATAAGTGTAAATGTTTGCGACTGTGTTGGAGAGCGTATGACGCCGATACGCTGCTTATTTATTAATGAATTCATTGATGCAAGCCCACTATTTCCTGAGCGGTGAGACAGGCGGGATGCGATTCGACTATTTGTGCTAAAGTGTGAGGAAAAAAGGGGGAATCCAAATTATAGGTGCAGCTGTTTCTGTTTACATTTGCTGCATCTTGAGTTTTGCTGATGTGGAAATGTTCCTGAAAAGGTCACAACAATGCAAAGCTTGGGAGTGTGAGGATGTCAGTGTGCATCTCCGTGTTTCGCTAAACAAAAGAAGATTAAGGATCCTTTTTTAAAACGTGTAACTGTGTGCACGTCAGCTCGGTGAGAAGGACGAACGTGAATGTCTGCGAGTCTCTGACTTACGTGTAAACAGCTGTGTTCACTGGACTGAAACTGATGCACCGTTGAATATTTAATATTTAATCTTCTTTTACAACAACCGGTAGAACGAAAACACACAGGAGCAAGAAGGAAACAGGTCGGAATGACTGGATCGTTTTTGGATCGTTATCCTCACATCAGTTAGGATGGAGGCCGTTCAAGACGCGCACAAAGTGAAATTTAATAATGCTCACTTTCTCTAAGCCACTAAAGACGTACAATTATCTTAGTGTGTGGTTGTGTGTTGTAGTTTGGATGGTTACTGTGCTGCACACGTGAAGTGGAAGTGAACTGTTATCGTGTGTAATGCACGGATTACAACCAGAAGGCAAACATCTGGCGCGCACACATCGAAAGCCAGACCAGCAGACAACCAGGGCAAGCACAACCGCAGTGATGTGCATCTGCACTACAGTCATGGTGCTGCAGATTCGGAGTGCACGGTTATCACACACGTAGTTTACGAACAGCATAACCAGTGTGCTCATGTCAGACGTTACTTCTGTTTATGCATATTTTACTTTTTCTTATGGCCAGAAAAAGCAGCTCTCCCCGGGTCCTCCCCGGGTCCTCCCCGGGTCCTCGTTGTTAGGTTTGTGTTACGCTTGAACCAAAAGGTTTAACTGGAAAAACTGTTAAATATAAGCAGATGGAGTTTAATGGCTTTGACTGCATATTTAATGTAGTATAGGTGAGTCAAACATAAGGCCCGGGAGCCAGAATCGGCCCACCAAGGCCATAAATTTTAGACTTTTAATTGTATTGTCACAGCTCTCCCTGCTGATAAAGAGTCAGTAAAGTCCCCCATGGCCTTTCATACTACACAAAGGTAATTAACTAACAGATAACCAATAAACGCCAGAAAAAATCCTAGTTTTCACCATCTACTATAGAAATGCACTTGTTTTGTTGTTTTTTACACAGAGAAAAAACATTTTCTGTGCATTTAAAAAACGTTGTGCTTTATAATCACAGGACTGTCTGGGTAACGAGCTCCCAGAACTTTTTCTGTAGTTTCACACTTCAGCTGAACGAGTCGTGCTGACTGGTTTCTTTCATTTCCTACAGCAGCGTTTCTTTATCATGTAGAATAACTGAGACTGTTGATTGTATTATGTCAGCGATTAACTGTGTCGTTAAACTTCTTTACACTTGTGTGGCCCACGATGTCCAGTGACATCTCTGTTCTTGTTTCATTGAAGGAGAGACTAAAAGTTTAAAGAGGCTTCATGAAGAGTTTGACGTGTTTGAAAATATCGAGTGCAAAGACGTAAATCACCACATGCTACAGCACATCGATGGTGTCATGTCAGGACTCAACACCTCCTGAAACGCCGTGATTTTCCTGTATAATCTGCATTATTCTCCGTCCACGGTCACTTGTTAGAAACTGTATTAAGAACAGAAGAGGCTGCCCTTCTGTCCCCATCATCACCGGCCTCCTGGTTAGGCCTGACACATCTGGGATATAACGTTCCCCTCGGGTTCCCCCCTCTCTCTCTGTCGGAAACCCAAATGGACACACACGTGCTCAGAGACACAGAGTTGGAGCCATCGGTCGCAGCAACAACCCCCTTCGTGTCCACTGGGAACAGGTACGTGTCATTTCCTGTTCTCGTCTTCACCTGTCACAACCTGACTGAAGCAGTAAAATCTGAAAACGCTGGAAGCAGAGAGCACGGGGAAGGAGAGGACTGGTCATAACAGCAGCAGGTATAGAGGTCTGGTTATGAAAACACAACTCAACTGCTGTTACTGTGTATTACTGTGTAATAACTGGCTATCTAAAGGACACGATCATATTATCATGCATTCAAACATCCCAGCTTTAATAACATCCATTGTCTCTGCTTCATCTAGTGGAAATTTAAACAGCTCATTATTACTGCTCAAGTTAAGCAGAAGAAAAAAAGTGTCAGGTTTGTACAATGGATTGCTTTAATGCTTAAATTATTGTCGAGCTGAAAAAAAATGCTTGCCACAGCTAACAAGGTCCATGCAACGCTAGCATATTATAATAAATTGTGGTTACACAGCTCAGTAAAGTGGCACACAGAGTAATGGTCCACATTCATCACTTTACACACACTGCACACTAAGAAGCACTCCTGATAAACAACAGCTTCCGCTAAAATATTAAAAAGCACAACAGGAAAAGGAAAACACCAAAGTTCACCTAATCCTTCACGACACACTAGCAACATGCTGCTAACATAATGGGCTGGGAACACAATATAGTCCACAGCTGGCCACTATTAGTAAAAGTCCCATGACCTAGACATGTTAATCCCTGTCCAGACATGTGGAAAACCCTCCCGCAGAGCAAGATGATTAACTTTAACCCCGCGATATGTTGGAGAATCCATGACAGAAGCACAAATACTACAGTTGTTTGGACACAGACACAGGTTTGTTATCTTAGTTGCTCTGAAAATCACAGAGCTCTTCACAAGCAAACAGAGGGAAGGACCAAAGATCACAGTGCAGCTATTATTAACTCATTCACTGCCATTGACGTCTATAGCTGTCAATTGCAGTGAATGAGTCAATGGGTTTAACTCATTCACCGCCAATGGCTGGCAGTGAATGAGTTAAGTTTAAGAGTTTCAGAGCCTAAGAGCTGCTTTGGGAAACATAAAGGGTTCAATAGTCATTTCAGCTACATGTAAAGCTCAGCAAATGATCTCAGGATAGATAAAGAAACACTGCCGGGTAAAGAGTACTCTCCTGGAGGTCAGCATGTTATTATCCAAGTGCATCGTGCAGAGAGGACTTGAAGAGGGAAATGCAGAAGGTTCAGCACAAGGTGCAAACCAGTGTTCAGTATCAAAAGCAAGACAAACCCCATCTGGAAGCACCCTTCATAATGATGGGCCACCAGTCTTTACTGATGATGCATAAGAAGAAAGAACCACTGGGATGAATTCTCAAGTGTAGGGACAAACTTCCTGCTCATATTCCACCAAATACAGCAAAGTTGCCTGGACAGGCAGTACAGATGGATGATAACCCACAAATACAGTGAAAGCAACTGACACATTTTTGCAGGTCCACAGGTTCTGGACAAAGAATGTGCCATCAAGTATTTAAAATGTAACATCTGGTTTCATATGACACGCTTGAATCCTTGAATTAAAGCTGAGATTCTGGCATTGTAGTGAAAAAATCCAAATCCAGCACCAGGAAAACTGTGTCGCTGCAGCGTTGAACATGCTGTGTACACGTGCAAAATCTACATATCAGAGCACAAAGCCACACACAGGGCAGATAAAAAGACGACGAGGACGAAGACAAAAATCTCTGATTTAAAGAGCACGTGTTTGGTTTTGAAATATGATCGTTTAATTTATCGTATATGTGCAGATGTATTCCACTTTCATTCCTGCATTATCCACGCATGCAACTTTATTTCATCTGTGTGTAGTTTGTCCTATCATCCACGTGTGTGCGCTCCTACCGGGCAGGTCACAGCCGAGAACCTCCATCCTCATGCCGATCCCGGCGGGCGACCATCTCTCTGGAAAGACTCGGATGTGCTGAGTCACTATCTCGTCAAACCTCCGCACCTCGGGAGTATCGTAGTGGCCGTTGCCCTCAAAGATCTGAGGAAGAATGTGAAAGGTGAGCACGAAACAGTTTCACTGCATTTGATGCTAAATTCTTTGACATCGTTTCAAAGGCAGTCAGCAATACATTTTTGCCTGGTGCCCAAATCTGTTTGACCATTTTAAAAAATTCCTAAAACAACAGAAAATCCAGTGGAGGCTGTCAAATGTTGGTATTTCACTATCCCGCCTGATGAGAAACCAATAAAAAAATGGAAGTCTTGATAAATAAGACACTAACTAGCATTGTTTCCCCGCCCAGAGCGACATGTGTCAAAAAAACAACAGACAGAAGATGTTTCCTTTGATTTCCAAATCGTCTTTGAGGCAGAAGAAGCCTCTGGCAAAAGCACAAGATTTATTACAAGCTTCATACAGACAAGACTACAGCGATCCTTTCAAAAAACGTGGGCCGTGAAAGTTGTACTATTGGTTTCATTAATTGAACTGTATCCTCTGTGTTCCCCATTTCTGAAATTTTAAAAACCGTAAGATGAATTTCCCAGGACGCTCATTTAAAAAGACAGGCAGATGAGAGAGAAGAGGATTTTAGCATCAGGAGAAAATCCAGGCACTCAGTAGTACTATTAAAGCGTTTTAAGACATAGACTCAGAAAGCAGAACAAAGTTTAAAGTGCCCGTCTCGCAGTGCGTTAGACGCCAGCAGTGCTGAGTGGTGATGCAGGAAAGACATTTTTAATTAACACCCATGAGAGACAAATAGAGGATGAGAGACGAAGAGAGGGAGAGCGCAGGACTCGGGGAGAGGAAGACACAGAAGCACGAAGAATGACGAGCGAGGTGATTAAATTGAATTATTATCGGAGCCGAGGCTGTAATAAAGCGGCGTTTTTGCGAAAAATGACAAGAATGAAAAAGACAAAGACGAGGAGAAAGAGAGGGAGACGGGGGGAAAGGCTCGGCTGAGAGACGGCTATAAATAACTGCAAATGAGTGAGAAGTGACGGCGGACCAGAGGACAGAGGGGGCCCCCATTTGTGTCAAAAACAAGGAGAGAGTGTGTGTTCTCCTCTACCTTAGCAAACCCAGTCTTGCTGTCAGTGATGTAGGTCCAGTCTTTGCCATTCGAGCTGTGAGCCAGTTTGTACTTCCTGACAAATGCTCTGTTCTCCGCACTGCCCTCCAGGCCTCGTGCACCTTGGGTAATAATGCCACGCACCATCTTGGGCACACCGAGGTCCACCTGCAGCACACAAAACAAAGTTAAACAAAGTTATTATTGCTCGCTCGCCCTCTGCGCCATGGAACCGATCAATTTCCAGATCCCCTGCCCATTGTGGCAACTGTGACTTTCCCGAGCATATAATCAATCAAACGTTGGTTTTCCATTGGGGAACTTTTAATAAGATTCAGCCTTTGGAAATGGGTTCTTCTTGCTATTCAATAGCAGTTCATGACCAAGGTCAGTTCACAAATGCAATCTAAACGACGGCTGAAAACTCCATCAGTGTTTAGAGACCCTGCTGTTGTCACGTGTGTCATTTTACAGTAATTTTGTGGGTTCGGTGGATGTTGTGATCGCCAGCGCAGGTGTGGAAAAGCCCGGCCTGCAGTATTTGATTGACCAAACCGTAGATTACATTATAAAAGACAGATGTGGATGCTTTTTTATGGCTCCTTTAGTTGCAAAAACAAGTCTCTGGGAAACTGACCCCACCCCCGCTTGATTTATCACTTCAGACGACCTTTTCTGATGTTCTGACGTTTATGGTCTTAGTGTCTGGTTTCAAGTGTTCTCCGTTATAAACTGAAGTGCGTTCCTATACTGTGCTGCCATTAAGAGTAAAATTTATGACAAAGCAGGTTTTGGTCCACGTCGTGGCTTCCTTGTGATTGACAGCTCACCCCTCGCCGCTCACACGCAGTTTAAAAAAATCAAAAGACAGAGCAGATGAAGGATGCTAGGCTATAGCGACATACCTGCAGCCACTCTTCTCCAACTATGGGTTGCGTTGGGTTGGGAAACCAGCCTGATCGACTGGCCACCAGCCTGGCGGCCCCCATGGAGCCGTGGATGTCCCTCATGGAGGACGCAGTGATTTGCGAGTCAGGAAGCAAACCAGACAACATGCCCTGCAGCTCTGAGCAGGGGGCATCTGATAGATCAGAACACAGAGAGGAAGGAGTGCTTAATGCTACCGCTGAGGATTTTTTCTCAAGTTTAAGGCAGGAAAGATGACTTCTATTTATTCTGCCAGCTTATTACAATCAGTGCACAAAACAAACATTGATACCCCTCATTTCTTTTCGTTTTGTTAATAAAAGAAAAGCAGTTTGGGAACGTTTTGGAAAACATTCCCGTCCTCTGACTCAGTGCCTCAAACATCAGTCAGCAGCTAAAAACATTAAAGCAGCAACAACATTGGTGCTAAATGGTTGATTTTATGAATTTAAAGTTTGATGCAGTGATGTGCTCTCCTGTCCTCTGCTGTTACAGCTCACTGTATGTTTACCGCTGGGAATTTCATGCTGCATATGAAACTAGTTATGTAATATTAGAGGCTGCCCGGAAGCTAAAAATCTGAAATCCTCTGGAGTAATATACAGCACTCGGTTCTTTATATGTCGCTCGTAAGAAACAACTGCAGCAACTTATTGAACGATATGCAAACATACATGGAAATAGAGTCTATAGGGCAACAACGGAGTTTGTACAACGC